TCTTTCAATTTTGGTTTTGGATCGATGATGTTGCATATATTACTGCGTTATCTTTCTGATAATTCTTTGAGGAAAGCTTTAAGTACGCTGAGATCCGTAACAATTAATTTCTATTGTTTGTTTTCGTTTTTTCATTATTTATTGGGTGATTTGTTTTCGATTTCTTCTAAATCAACAATTTTATAAAAAAAAGAGAGAATTTTTGAGTGATCGAAGTTGCCACATTTAAATCACTCATTTCAGCTTTGTATGATTGGTTGTGGGATTTCTTTATAAGGGGTTTTGTGTTAAAAATTACTAAGATTGGTAGATTATCAAAATCTGATTGAATTATACAAAAATTTGATCGATTTACTGGTGATTTGGTTTGGGCTGTTTGTTTGTTTGTTTTGAGATATGTCAATACAAACATTAAGGAATGAAATTCCCTTTTTTGTTCCAGTAAATAACTAAATTTAGGTGTGCTTTGCTAGAGTCATCTCACAATCAGAATGTCTAGTTCAATCTAATTGCAGACCAAGTTAGGCAAATTTATGTCACACCCTAATAAGGCCTTTTCCGCCGCTGCCTAATTCAATTTCCTGGACATCTAAATTACTCATGCAGTATTGACAAGCTTTCTACACATTGTAGATAGGAATTTAGACGTTTTGCACTATTAGGCTTTCTCTAAGCATTGTGCTGAGTACAGGTCCCCCCTACCATTATAATCAACCTAACCTGCAAATTATGTGAAAATGCAGGCTTGAGTAGCTTGCACCACTCAGACTGTCTTGTCAATTTGCACTCTTAAGGCTACTACCATTCATCTGTTCTAGGTGCTGATTTACTAGAAAATATGGTGTCATTGATACGAAACTACCCACTAAAATGCCAAATGATATTAGTTCTTGGGTAGTTCAACCACATTTACTGTGACCTAGATTTTAACAAACAAATGCACACCAAATAACAACATTATGTGAATCTGCACAAATTTCACAATCCAAAGTCTGATTAACAACTAACCCTTTCAACAATGATTCTCTACAGTCCCTACGGTTAATGATGTTTGCTATCTACATCATGTACTTGCATTTGAGAGCCACAAGTTAGGGTCCTACAAACATGGTTCACTTCTGCGTAATCTGTCCTGCTGCTCGGTAGAACTGAATCAACTTCAAACTTGCAACTGTTTCCTGCCATATGGAAACCAAAAGAAATATTTCATACATGTGTACACATACAGCAAAATAAGCTATACAATACCCTTATACCCCCAACTAAACAAACCTGTACTATTCCTTCAGACTGATTAAGAAATTTAAGGCCTACTGAACATTTTTGTAAGATTTCAGGACTTTTCATCCACGATCGTTGTCCATCTTTTAGTTTTAGCTTTTGATTGAACATCTGAAACACAAAAGTTAACTTACAAAAATCATAAGGTGTAATGTACACTAATAAAAACATTGAACGAATTGAAATAATTGTAATAATCAACGAGAATGTCAAAAGGTTTGGATTGGATAACAATATATGAACCTGAGCAAGACCAATGGTTGGTTTCTCCAGCTGATCTTTTTCAACATGTATACCAGCTCCTTGACATTCTGGACAGAAAACAGAAGTGATGTGTTTTGGTGCAGGTGCAAGTCTCACAATATTATCCTTTTGCTTTGCATTTCTTCTGGTACGAGTCTTGCTCTTTGTTTGGCGAGGAATTTCTTCATCAATCAAATTATTTGTCCATTTTTCAAATTCGCAGAGAAGTATCCAGTGTATCAGGCAGGAAGTGTGGAATAAATGAAAGGCCTAGTATAAGATAAAAGAAGTAAGAAAAGTTTAGATGTACTATACCAGAGTCGAACATATATTGAATGAAATATCTAAAAAATCATGTTCTACAATGCTAACACAAAACATCATCAATTTTAGCAAACAAGAGTTGTTGGAATAATACCCCAGTCGAATTCCTACTGCTACAAGCAAGTCGGCCAGTCTTCATATTCAATAGGCATGCAACATCCTTTCCTGGAAGAAGTTTAACATAACAGATATCACAAGTTCTTTCAGCAGCAAGACGCTCTCTCTGCCTCATTTCTTTTCTAATGCGTCTCCGTGTGGACCTTGAAGCTGATCCCAATTCTGTATCCAGAAGCTGATAATCTTCCATTGAACCATCCCGTTTACTCAAAGATGTACTAATATCCTCAGGATCAGAGTATGCTTTTCTCATTCTCTTGTTCTTTCCTTCTATGTTCACATCATCTAAGTATTTACTAGAAGAAGCAGACAATCTTTCAAAATCACCCAATACAGGTTCTCGTCCCAAATCATAATGGTATGAAAATATCACAACACCAAATTCATGCTTTGTTAACAGAAATGCACCATCCTCGTCGTTTTCAGAACAATTTTCCCCCAACCAAGCACACCATATTCGACTAATATCCTCAGGATCTTTATCAAGTTTATCAAGAAGTCTGACACCAATTTCACCATACCCAATTAGCTTCACATTTAAACTACACTTTTGATCATTACATAAAACCCCAGGAATTACTAAATCACTATCCTCAACACCAGAATTCACATTAGTATCAACAACAGTAGACACAGTATTATTGTTCATGTTAGAAATCAACAAGCTATCTTTGTATGAACTTGAATGACTTTCTTGTTCATGAAAGAAAAAGACTCCATCATTAAAAGGCCATGGATTTGG